TATTGGGTCACGTGACTAATTAGCATATTTTTATTTTTTGCTTAAAAATGGCATTTTCCCAGGGTTTTACCCTCCGTAGAGTGCTAAAACAGCCTTCTCTACTTATTTTTTACGTGTTCGGCAAAAAATAATGACCAAAAACCGTTTAATTTTCGTTATTTTCTCGCCAAAAAGTCCGGTTTTTGCGGGATCCCTGTGTAAAATGCTAGTATCCAGTCCCTGTGCATGTCACCTCTTCATTTGTTGCACGCTGCTGTTCGTTGTGGATGTGTTTCAACGGGTGCAAAACACGATGGGCTTTTAGGCTGAAATTGTACAAGAACAAAGATGGTTATTAGCTCGTGCTTGACCTAACAGAGAGAGAAGCACACGAGAACTATGAAAGGTAAGAGTTATTTCGTTTTTTCTGCGTTTTTCTTTCGTTTTTCTGTATTTTTGACCAGTTTAAAAAACTTCGAATGTTCGTTTCATCGGCTTCGTCCGCCATGACACGTGCTAACTTTGAAACCTGAAAAATCCACCTTTTCTGAAAAGAAATGATAAAATTGATAACAAATAACAATGTTTCATGAAGTTTTCAAACAGTATGTAAACTTACCTTAAGAATATTTTCATATTTTAACATTTTTTGAAACTTTGGGTTTGAATGTTACACGGAACTTGGTTCGTGTAAGTTTCAAGACATTCCTACCTCATTAGAACCACCAAAATCCGAAATATTAATGTCTCAATGACTTATGTTTTTGTATTGCAGCTATAGAAATACTGATTACACGAAAAATACTCCATAAAACTTTCCAGTGAGCTTGAACAAGATGGCGGCTGTTCATACCTGACATCTGAGGCTGATAGCCAATATATATACACACCAACCAGCAAGCTTATCATGGAATAGTCCARTATCTATCTTGTAATAATGGATTAACTGCATTAAAACAAAAGAAAAAGACTTTGATAGCAATATGGACTCACCTTGTTAATTTATGAGTATTGACCTAATTAATGATGTGGTAACCTGGTGATGACCCTGTGACCTTCATAAGAATGTGGACTCACCTTGTTGCTATATGGATATTGAAGTAAATAGCTCAGTCATACCTCATTCTGGCAAACCTTACTGGTCAAAACGACTTGTGAGGCAATTATATTTGACTGGACAAGTCCCGTTCTGGCCGGACATTGTCTGACGTCTGGCCGTTATTTTCAAGCCCTGCAGCATAATATAGCATTGTACAGTAAACTTTATGTTTAGTGCCATAGAGCATTTTCACTCATGTGACAAGGCAGCCATAAACAATAGAAACTTTCTACGCAGTATTTGCATAAAAATAGAGTTAAATTCCCGGAGGATAGAAAATGTATTGTTTTGGTACCCCATAATGGTCGCTGTGATGTCATGTGAAAACGCTCTATAAAAATATGTGTATCAAGTTGTAGTTTAGTAGGGTACATCAGTGTACAGTACTTTATCTTAAAAATTTGTAAAGCCAATCTATATAATTCATACCTGTTCCTAAATTGTTATCTCATCCTATTTTCAGCTTGTCAGCCATTACAGATAAGTCCAAGTGTTATGATGCTGTCAACTTCTTGCAGGCCATTCTAGTGCAACAAACAAGTAAGTTGAGCTATGTGTTGTCCATGTAATTATATTAAATGGTGAACGAAAGATGTTAGAATATGTGTGCTAGTTGTATGCAGTGGTTAAAAGTGCCATATTATGCAATATCCAATTCATACCTTCCAAAAACATTGCAAAAAAATGTATAATTTATGTTTCAAAAAAAGTCTTCTTTTTCCCCTCAGCTTACCAGCCATTACAGTCAAGTATCTTGTGATGCTGTGTAGCTTTGGCCAGTATACATGACAGACAAGTAAGTTGAGCTA